TATATATATATATATATATACATACATACATACATACATACAATGGAATTTCTTCTCAAAAGGAATGAAATTCTAATACACAGATAAACTTACGAATCAACATGCAGAACCCTCTGGCCACTTCTTGAGCATGCAGCTGCGATGATGGATTCAGGCAAACCTATAAAATAAACACTTATATCACTTAGAATGAAAAAATACATTTATAATACAAAATGCTCAGTTCATGCCATTATTGTATACAATAGTTTAACAAAAAAAAGGTTCATGTTTACATTCAAAATAAAAAAGGTTATGTTATTATATGGAGTCTTGGTATAGCACTGTAGGATAAGCACTGGACTGCTAACCAAAAGTTTAGCAGTTCAAAACCACCAACTGCTCCTTGGAACCCCTATACAGGGTCACTATAATATAAGTCTGACCCTGTTCAGGGCTTTCAAGAGCAACTGGTGGATTTGAACTGCCAACCTTGTGGTTACCAGTCCAGTGCTTTTCCTACAGCTGCACAGCAGGGCTCAGCACAGACCAATAATATTTTTTAAAAATCATTATGAAGAACAGATATTATGAAAAGAAAAGAAACTCTTAAATTCTTTATAGCTACAAATCACCATAAATGAGCACTGGGCCATTTATAAAACATATTGCATTGCCTTTTAGTTAATGAAAACACTTTGAAAATATACCTTTTCAAATCAAAGTAATTCATAAAGGGAAATAATCATACCAGGAGCAACAGAAATAAAAATTACCAAAGACAATGCTTTTTATAATTAAACCCTTTCAAAAATGAATAATTTTCTATTTTGAATTTTTGTTGATATCATGAGTTTTCAGTAATGGAAGGCATTTGAAATGAAATGAATGTATTGGTCTGAGGTAATATGGATTTTAATATAATTGATGGAACACATACGTCCATAGGGGTGTCTGGTGCTAGGGTTGGTGGAATGAAGCCTGTTTCTTCAGATTCACCTAAAGAAGTTAGACAGGTTCCCATCAGATGGCAGCAAACACTAAAAGTAGAATATCAACTTCTCACTAAGCCCCAAAGCAGAAAATGTTGGTAAGCACTCTGTCCCATAGTCACAAAAGGATTAAAACAATCTCCGTTTTCAGCGTATATGATAGCTAATTGTCTATGTTGTATGTTCAAAACTTATATAACATTTCATCATTATGTATAATAACAAACAGGAAAAGCTCAACTATTTCTATTAAAAATCCTATGGCAATGCACAATACAAAAGTTAAAAATAAATTTTTTTTAATGAAAACACTGTTGTCATCAACTTGATTCTGATTCATCGTAATACTAACAACTACTAAAACGTTTAATATCAGTCACACAAATAAGATATGTTGTGAAAGTTTAGTGTTATTCAATAGTGTTACTACTAATTCTTATACTATGAAACATCCTAATCCTTTGAGTTTTTATCTACTGTAAATGAAAAAGTACTATTAGTTTGACAAGATTTAAAGTACACACCAAGACTCAAAGATTTCAAAAATTAGGAAAGGTTTTATCTTTATCCACCACTCATCTGTCAGTCTGCCATACTGTGGTGGCTTGTATATTGCTGTGATGCTAGAAGCTATGCCATTGATATTTTAAATACCAGCAGGGTCACCATGGTGGAAAGGTTTCAGCGGAGCTCTTTAAAGTGTTGAACAGCAAAGATGTCAGTTTGAGGACTAAAGAGCTCCTGACCTAAGCCATGGCATTTTCAA